TGGTGGGCACCTCCTGGGAGCACTCTGGTGGAGCACTCCCCACTAAAGAAAGGCCCTAGTCTACAAGAGTGGCCTATAATGGACTGTTATCAGTAATGCAGCACCGGAGTCCAGGGACCCAGGGTCCACACTGGAACATCACTCCCTGGGAAGTGTCTTTAAAATCAGAATAAATGGTTGTCAAATAAAGATTTTCTATAAAAGGGTTAAAAGATACGAGTTGATAAAATTTGTAAAATCTTCTAGAAGGTAAAACAAGAAGACAGTGAGTTGAGGAATTGAGAAAAAATAAAATACATAGAGGACCTTCCCAGGATGCCCATCCTCTGACTCAGAATTTTCAGGAAAAAACATTAACAGGAGGTGGGCCTGGGGGGGCATTTAAAGGAAGTGATAGGAAAAGCAGCCCAGCCAATCAAGAATAAAGACATTTTCAGACATGCGTTTACTCCCTGTGCCCTCTCTTTGGAAGCTACTAGAGGAAGATCTCAAACTAAGGTTGTAAACCAACAGAAGAACCCACATGAGGGGGGCCGCAGAGGGAAGACCCAGGCCAGCGTCTGTGCCCTCCCCGCGCCCGGGCCGTGCCATCAGCCCCGCCATTCTCTCCACGTGGACGTCAGAATTAGCTGGTCAGGCTTTTGTTCATGTTCCTCTGGGACCTTTATGTTGGGATAGCCCTGGACTCACAGGTTGATTTGGGGGAAGAACTGACATGTTTCCAGCGGCATTGATTCTCCCCAAAGCACCACGCGACGCACTCGTTTCTCTAGGTGTCCTTTCTGTTGTCTGGTAAAGCGTTGAATTCCCCGTGTAGGGCTTGCAGCGTCTTGTGACCCGTATTCCTGTGTGCTTTATGCTTTTAATAATGTTGTGTGTTCGCACCGGTTATTAGGATCGCACAGAATGGTCTGGGGCCGTATGTAGTTGCCACAAACGGAGCCGGGCAGAAGTCCACGCTAGTTACCGCGCTCCTGCAGCGCCTTCAGAGGGCACAGAGGGACCACACTCCTGGCCCTTTGTGGTCGGGGGCGGGACTTGCTCTGGGCAAGTCCTCGTGTTGCTTCCCAGCTGGGGTGCATTTAACCGCCAGTGTGGACATCCCGCCCCCAAACCACCAGCATCCAGGACTGTTCCTAAGGATGGCCGCTCTCTCCGTCTTGTGGGGAGGAGACCACGGCACAGTGTTGGCTGAGCCACGCGGAGCGTGCAGTGTGGCCAGGAAGTGAGCCCCCGAAATCAGGCTGCTCATCAAGGCCACACAACCTCACTCAGCCTGACACGCATTTACTAACCCCTACCCCTGTTCCACCAGGTTTTGGGTGATTTCCTTACTTCCCAGGCAGAGGTCCCATTCGGACAGTCGGCTGTCCCTCCTTCACGGTGCTCACCTGTGCTGCCATGGGGACCACGGGGCTGGCCGTGGGCAGTGACCCTGCCTTGTTCCTGCCTGTGCTGGGGGCCACTCAAAAGCCCCACAGTTCGGGACATTTGCAGGATGGGGAGTTTGATACCCAGGTACTAGATCTTCTTTAATTTCAGCTTCCTCTTAAATGGTAAAATCGGACACGGGTGTTTGATGTTACATTGTCAGCATCTTTGTCCCCTTTGGTGTGTTGATGCCACAGATCTCACAGATGGGCATTCTGGTGCTGGTCTGCTGTAGATTTGTTCGTCCACGTGTTTATGTCATTACCCACTTTGTCACTGTGACCAGCAGTCAACCACCTTGATTCAGACGCTCTTACTTGGGAAATGATTTTAAAAGTTGTGCTCTTGCTCACTTCAGGCAAACAAACTTCACTCCACGGCCCCAAATCCCGAGGAGGAAAAGGGGACTCCATTCTCCCGAGTCAACACCATACCTGACTTTGCTAATCTTTCTGAGGATCTCGCGTGTTTGCCCGAGGAATTGGGGGGCAGCATTTCTGGGCTGTTCTCCCCTGGTCTGGCCTCCATACACGGGGACACCAGCTTCACGGCGGTGCTCTGGTGGGAGCCCAGGAAGCCCGCAAGCCCGAGCACGGGGCGAGCGCAGGCCTGGGCACTGGCTCTGGGTTCCAAAGATAACCAGTCTCTTGGCCACGTCACTCCCTGTTCTAGAAACGATTCAGGCAACTTAGATCTTTCTGGAAAATGTGAATGCGTCAGCTCCCGGAGCACGCTGTAAGGTGCTATCATAGTGCGTTTCCGGGTGTGATGTCGCCAGCACACCTGTGGCGTCCCTGGAGCTTCTGTCCATGTCATTCCGTGTTGCAGAAACCGCACGTCTGGGTTTCCTCCTCTCTCCGGGTCCCAGGGAGGAGACAGGTTGCTGGGCCCAGCGCCCCAACGAGCGACCCTCCTGCTCTGGCTCCAGATGCCCCCTCGCTAAGGGGCTCCCGCAGGGCCAGCCGCCAACCAGGAAGTTCTGCTGGAGCTCTGGTTGCCTCTCCGCCGCAGACGCTCCCCTTTCCCAGAGAACAGTATGTGTGCAGCGCGCCACCTCCCGCCACCACCACGTTATTAAAGCCATAAAGCTCTTTCCGGGGTGCAGCTGCCCTGAGCTGACAGCACCCCCGGGAGGGGCCGCGCGGAGGAACGGCTGCGTCTAAACAGTACTAACCAGGGGCTGACACTTCTTGTTATTTCTCAGTGGTTTGTTCTGGGAGGAGAGACCACGGGGAGTAGTTTCCTAGAAGCGCCTGCGCCCCAACCCCACACCACTCGCCCCGCGCTCTCGGAGAGGAAGGGACGCCGTGCGCCCCGAGCACCAGGTCCCTGCGCAGGACATCTTCCCAAACCAGGGGCCCCGGGTGGCAGTGGAGCACCCCCTTCCTGCCCTCCCCTGACAATGCCTTCCATCTTGACCTCACATCGTGGAGAATTCTGTTTTAGGATCCACTTGGCTTCAGCTGGAGCTGATTCGCACAGAAAAAATGAGCGTGCCGTGCACGACCTCTGATAGGAATACTGTGCGCAGAGGGCAGCGGCTTTACCCTTCCCCCTAGGGTGACTTTGTCACGGGGCGGGGGCAGGAGACGGGCACAGGCTGGGGGCCCACACTCGGGACCATGGCCCTTGGCCTTTCTGGGTCCAGTAACCCCTCTTAGATGTCAGGAGCTTGATGGGGACGCGGTGTCCGTTTGGGAAAGTGAAGGACACTCTGGACGGTGGTGACAGCTTCACACAGTGTGAGTCACTTAATGCCCCTGAGCAGCACCCACAAAGTGGCTAAGGGGCGCTATGTTCTACTTTATCACAATGTTTTAATTGCTTGCTATGACTTAACACAGTTAAGCCAGAAAAAATATAATACGTAATTTAATATATATATATTAGTTTATATGTAATACGGTTTAGGGGCGCCTGGGTGGCTCAGTTGGTTAAGCGACTGCCTTCGGCTCAGGTCATGATCCTGGAGTCCTGGGATCGAGTCCCGCATCAGGCTCCCTGCTCAGCGGGGGGTCTGCTTCTCCCTCTGACCCTCTTCCCTCTTGTGCTCTGTCTCTTATTCTCTCTCTCAAATAAATAAATAAATAAATAAAATCTTAAAAAAAAAAAAAGTCTTTATATGTAATACGGTTTAGCCAGGAAAAAAAAAGTCCAGGGAAAGGACAGATCACTTCCCCCCAAAAGGCACACAGGCATACACCCCCGTTGCCTGGGTCTTGGGGTCCCTGGGCACTCGGGGCCGCATCAG